AAGTTGGTCGCTGACTCGCGGCCGGACACGGCAGCCTTCAATGCTGCGCTGAATGCCTGTGCCAATTTGGGGGATACTAGGAGATTCTTGAAGCTGTTCGATGAAATGCCTGAGTATGGTGCTGAGCCTGATGTGCTCACTTACAATGTTATGATCAAGCTGTGCGCCAGAGTTGGAAGGAAGGATTTGCTTGTTTTTGTGTTGGAGAGGATTCTTGACAAGGGCATTGCCTTGTGTATGACAACGTTGAATTCGCTGGTGGCAGCTTATGTTGGTTTCGGTGATTTGGAAACCGCAGAGCAAATGGTTCAAGCAATGAGGGAAGGGAGGAGAGACCTGTGCAAGATTTTAAGGGACTCGAATTCGAATAATTCAAAGTCGAGTCTAATTGATGGGGATGTGTTTGAGAAGTTGCTTCCTAATTCGGTTAGAGCAAATGATTGTGAGCCGCCATTGTTGTCTAAAGCATACACTTGTAACTCTAGGATTTACACTACTTTAATGAAGGGTTATATGAACGTTGGCCGTGTTACTGACACCGTTCGGATGCTAGAGGCACTAAGGCACCAGGATGGCAGCTTATGTTGGTTTCGGTGATTTGGAAACCGCAGAGCAAATGGTTCAAGCAATGAGGGAAGGGAGGAGAGACCTGTGCAAGATTTTAAGGGACTCGAATTCGAATAATTCAAAGTCGAGTCTAATTGATGGGGATGTGTTTGAGAAGTTGCTTCCTAATTCGGTTAGAGCAAATGATTGTGAGCCGCCATTGTTGTCTAAAGCATACACTTGTAACTCTAGGATTTACACTACTTTAATGAAGGGTTATATGAACGTTGGCCGTGTTACCGACACCGTTCGGATGCTAGAGGCACTAAGGCACCAGGATAATAGCTCAAGCCATCCTGACCATGTAACCTATACGACTGTTATTTCTGCATTTGTGAAGGCTGGCTCAATGGACCGTGCTCGGCGAGTGCTTGCAGAGATGACAAGAGTTGGTGTGCCTGCTAATCGGATCACGTATAATATTCTTCTCAAAGGTTATTGCCAGCAGCTGCAGATAGACCAGGCCAAGGAGCTCCTTAGGGAGATGGCTGATGATGCTGGGATTGAGCCTGATGTGGTTTCGTATAATATATTGATTGATGGATGCATACTGGTTGATGACAGTGCTGGGGCTCTTGGCTTTTTTAATGAGATGCGAACAAGAGGACTTGCTCCCACCAAGATCAGTTACACCACTTTGATGAAAGCTTTTGCCTTGTCGGGTCAGCCGAAGCTGGCTAACAAGGTGTTTGATGAGATGCTTAACGATCCTCGGGTAAAGGCTGATTTGGTTGCTTGGAATATGTTGGTTGAAGCGTATTGCAGGATGGGGTTAGTCGAAGAAGCCAAGAAAATCATTCAGAGAATCAAAGACAATGGGTTTCACCCTGATGTGGCCACTTATGGCAGCCTTGCCAACGGAATTGCATTGGCTAGAAAACCAGGGGAGGCACTCTTGCTTTGGAATGAAGTGAAGGAGAGATGTAGGGTGAAAAAGGAAGGGGAAACTTCCGATCCTTCCGATCCGCCAACGCTGAAACCCGATGAAGGGCTTTTAGATACTTTGGCTGATATATGTGTCAGGGCTGCTTTCTTTAAGAAGGCTTTGGAGATTGTGGCTTGTATGGAAGAGAATGGGATCCCTCCAAATAAGACAAAGTTCACTAAAATTTATGTGGAGATGCATTCTAGGATGTTTACTAGTAAGCATGCCTCACAAGCGAGGCAGGACAGGAGGATTGAGAGGAAGAGAGCAGCTGAGGCTTTCAAATTTTGGCTGGGTTTGCCCAATTCTTACTATGGGAGTGAATGGAGGTTAGAGCCTATAGATGGAGATGAGTGATGTATGATTATGCTTCTGGTTCAGCTGAACCACTTGGCATGTCAATGTATACTTTGTTACTCAAAAAGGTAGAAAAGAAACAGTTCTAGGGTATTTACAAAATCTGAGAAAGTGAGAAAATATTCCAATGTAATATAATTATGTTATCATATAGGTGATTGAAAATGATGTCCTTGAACTGTTTACATTACAAAATTATATACAAAATTATGCCACTATGGTGTTTTTGGCATTAGATTTTTCCAGTACTAATATTTTTGAAGCAGAACTCCGAAACAAAATTCAGATGCAAGATATAAAATTTTCAATGCGCTCTGAATTGCTGCACTAACCTTAGCCTCTTGACCTTGATGACGATTGACTCCGAGAATAAGATGACGATAGTACCTGAACAAAAAATTATGATTAAATAAAAGCTGCATGATATAAAATTATAGATATTGAGATTTACATGGAACTACTGTTGTGTTGTCACATTGGAATACTTACTACCAGATCGCAGTAAAGAAGGTTATAGTAGTACCTGGTACGTCTTTGCCCCTTTCTTGAGCAGATAACCAACACTGTTTAAGTTATCAACAAATGTGTCGATGTCTGGAACTCTTAGGCCAATCCTATCTGCCAAACTGTATATTTCCTGAAATAAAAGAGTACATGAATATGTGGGTGACTGATGGAGCATGATAATTGCAGAAGCACACAAAAGAATGCAACACACCGATATTGTAAAACAGTCTTTCTGCTGCAACTCCGATTGCCTATTGAGGGCACTTAAAAACCGTTTTGCTTCCTTTTGTTGACTCATCCCTCCACTGCGACCAAAATCCACAACACCATGCTCGTCAATGTACTTGTCATACAAGGATTCTCTCATGATTTCAACCACCTCCTGCAAAGAAGACACTCTGATAAAATGATCCAGGAACTTTGTCCAAACTCATCTTAGCAGAATTAGAACTAACCATTGCATCTTGGGCTGTTATTTCTTCTCTTAAATCTAGCCTAGCTCGAGCTTGTGTCAGCCTCACCAGACTCTCCAATTGCCTTGCTGTTATTGGTGTGCTATCAGCAGATGTAGCATGGTCTCTAAGTTTTAAATAGAATTTCTGCAGGATTTCTGCTGCAGGCTTTGACATCCTGGTTCACCAAAATTGAAAATTGAGAGCAAAAAGAAAATGTGAAACCAAAGAAAAAAACATAGAAAAGAATCACAATTCCTGCATGAGCAATCAGATGCACAAGAGTGACAAGGCAAAGGTCATGCCAAAATCACCTAGGGAAGACGTAATTTCTTGCATAAGCAATATACTTGCGTAGGAGTTGAACTGGTAATGGAACAAAATCACCATCCGTGTTTGGGTCAAGCCTCAACCTTGAAACCAAAGAACCACCTTCTCCACTCATATCTATGCCTTCTGCACTCTGTGATGCTGTATTTTGTGAACCAGAAGGCATTATCTTGTTAAAGAGAGAATCTTTTGTAAGTGGAACTGTATTTCACGACATGCATTCGCTACCTTGCTTTGCAATGCTTTGCAAGAAATAATTAATAAGTCTGGTTCTATATGGACATACCTCCACGAATCCTTTTTACTGCTGGTGAATGTTCTCCATATCCAGCATGAAGCTACATGATAGAAAACCAAATCCTTGAATTACACACTGAACAAAGAATCTTTTTGTTTTTTTGGCAATTGGCATTACAAAGTTCTATTAAACTCTGTTTACTAATACTTTCCTAGCATACTGAACTAATGTCATTGCAAACATGTAATATCAAAAGAGAATAGCAAATACTCTATTTTTCTAGGACAAAATTTAATTGTAATTCCTAAAAGAAATTTGGTTTTAACATCTCAATGTTGATTTTGTATCACAGTTTATGACTAGCATTGTCCAGATAAATTTCGAAACTCCATGTGGTGCAAATATGAACGATTTTCAAATTGACACCGTGACGCATGACAGGTTTTATGCAAATCATGAAAACATAGTTGGTATGTCTTACACAATTACCTCAAATGAGATAAGAATAGCATGTAACTAATTAAAATATGTACATTATGAAGGGCCAAGAGAGGATAACTTACCGACATGATGTGCTCCGAGACTCGCTTATCCAGAAGTTCATTAGGTTTGTCAAGTAATATGAAAACCAAATCAAATCGTGATAGGAGAGCAGCACCTATTTTCAAATTTTCGTTCACTGTTTTTGCACGGCTGCCATTGGAAATGTTAATGGTATCACAAAATGCGGGTTTGAAATGTCATGATATCACAGCTACAGATATGTTATTGATGAAGTATTTCGTCCACATAAGCAACAGATTAATGAAATTGCAATAAGAGAGCGGGGAGGATGGAGAAAGTGAGAGAAGGACAGAGTGAGATAATCTGCTGATTGACAGAGTTCTCCAAAAGGACTATAGGGGATATGAAATAGGACTCATTCAGTAAAATATAAGCAATGACAGAGGGAGCAAAGTCTACAACAACAGAACATTTTATCCATTACCAGAATCATAATAGTCCCCTCACCAACAATTTAAATAAAAAACATTACTTATAATGACCACCAACAGGGTTTGCTGCTGCTAAGACAGAAGTTCGTGCTGACAAACTTGCCACCAATCCAGCCTTTGCAATAGAGACACACTGTTGTTCCATGGCCTCAAGTAGGGCCTGCAACAATCTCAATATAAGCAAAAGCAACTCTTTTAGAAGTTAGATAATAGAAACTAATATAAAACCACTGGGGACAAACCTGATGCTCTGTAGTCATTTTGTCAAACTCATCAATACAACACAATCCACTGTCCGCAAGTACCATGGCACCTAATCCAAGATTTGGTTATTATAGATGAATGCATTGAGACAATAGCTTAATATAATCACTCTTTTGAAGCTATAATAACAGAATATATATTGTAAGATTAATATATACTTTCCCCTTTAAGAAGGGAGGGGGGCTATTAGTTAAATTTCACCAATCAACTGTGAAATTAATCATAAGTACAACATTCATAAGCAGATATTACATATAAGTTAGCAAAAGCATTAGACTATCTTTATTGACAAGAAAAGGGAAAAACAAAAAGAAGATGAAGAAAGAAAGAAAGAAAATAACTACCAGCTTCAAAAGCATAATCACTTGTCATAGGATCCTTCACAACAGCTACAGTGAGACCAGCCCTGGTTGTGGCATTACCACACACATAAATGCCCCTTGGAGAAACAGCTGCTGCTGCTTGCAGTAGTTGGCTCTTGCCTAGTCCAGGATCACCTAACAAAATGAGGAGGTACAAATTCATCTACTATTTCCATGCACAACTTTCAAGGTTTAGTACCGTTAAAAGAGCATAATGGAGTTCAACCATACCAACAATTATGACATGAATGTCTCCTCTAACAGGAACCTTGTTCTGATCATTTGAATGCTTCCTCACACCCCCAAAGAGTGCCAATATTATGCCCGCTGGTGAAAAACAAGTAAACTAGCATTGTTATACTGCTTCATTATCAAATTCATAAGATATGCTTAATGAGGAGAAAATTAAATGTAGAACTTGAGAAACCAGGCAGGTACCATTATCCATAAGTAACTTGCATCATAGTTCACATCTCATATATAATCTAAGGAATGTTATCATTTTCATACGGTTTATAATATGCATCCTTATCACAATAACAGTGATAAAATACAAGAAAAAAATGAGGAGGGTGAATTAGGAGAGAACCAAAAAGATTAATTAGCATGAGACTTATGGAGACACTGTAAGATGAAGAAATAGTATATAAGGTTACCTTTAACAAGCTCATGACCATAGATGGATGGACAAATAGATTGTAGTAGTTGCCTGAAGGTATCTGGACCATGTTCCTCTGAAAACTTCACAATGAATTCCAAATCCCTTGGGGAGAATGAGCAAAAATCAACAAGTGCCATGTCATTAGAATTAGAATCTTGTACATCCTCAGGCGTAGACTGTGACTTGGAATTTTTAATTGAAACAGCTTCTAGATACAAATAGTAAATTCCTTGACTCTTTCCTTTTGATTTGCCTGAAATAATCAAAACAAATTACCCATGTTACACTAGTGGGGAGAATTGGAATTGTCCTCTTTTCTGGTCCGCTGCATACATAGGAATAAGATCTAAATTGTTACCGGATGCAAAAAATACTGAAATGAATTAGGATGAATTTCTTTACCTCCTCCAATGTCCATGTAATTGTTAATGACTCTTATAATCCCAGTGACAGTCACCACGTCTCCCGGAATGCATGCATCAACAAGATCTTCAAGCAGTTCACATTCTACTGTGCGAGGCACCCGGCCATCTTCATGATCCTCAGGCTTTAGTAGCTCCTGTATCCTTAAGTAGTATCAACGAATTTCAACAAGGTCAATGGAGGTAAATGCAAAATTGGAATTTGCTTTATATTCAAAGCACCTACCTTATCTTCTGAAAATCTATCGTCTGTGCAGTAGATCGAATTGGGTTAAAATTTCTGCTCTTGCACCCATCTAGATCACATTTTGATGGTGGTGAAAATTTCCCATCAGGAAACATGCGTGTAATGCTTGTCTTACACTTCACACAGTCAAAACCCATTTGCACAACAAGAGGTTTGACAGTGCTAACTTTTACTACAGTGCCACGCACAGATACAAGCTTATCTGTCATGCCACCAATAAACCAAATATTAACTTCAAATGCTTCTAAATATATAACATATGATAGGTTAAAATGGAAGATGAAAAGGCCTAGACTTCATACCTATATATGCAGCTTTTAAATTCTTCAAAGCAATCATGGATTCGGGGTAGTTATGCAATCGGATATTAACTTTGATACCGTCCTCCACCCGGTTATTGTCCCACTGGGTCAACAGGACCTGGTGAGCTGCAACGCTCATACATAAGAGGGTTATCTTGGGTTTCTCCTCTAATGCTACATACAAATCTTCAACATCACACATTTTCCGAAATTTCTCAAAGTCAATCGACAGCACAGAAACACCACCATCGTCCTTTAGCTGCACCAAGTATAATTCTAATTATAAGCCAGATTATGAAATTCTACTCAAAATTCAAATTTCCACAAACGCAAACCCTAACTAATGCAATTGATTGCCAAGACCAAGCAAAACAACCTAATGAAATTATACATTTTGTTAGGAATTGACAAATTTCATAGCAGAAGGAGGTGAGGAATTTGACCTGGGAAAGG